CAGAAAGGTGCTCAATACACATCACAGACTTTGATCTCGCACCTTTTGCTTCAATTCTAGAAGTACGGCAATTGAAAATAGAGCTCTGGCTGTTACCAATTCCAAAAATACATAAAGTAAGATGTAACGAGGCCCTTGCTTCAAAGTTAGGATTAGCAGAGTTCTCGGACTTTCAAATGAAACATTCCAATTTGGAATATCTTGTCACAGATGGGTCCAAAACTCAAGATGGATTCGGTGCGGCTACTGTTTCTGACAATGTACAAATGTTCTCATTACCCCCTTATTGCACTTCCTACCATGCAGAACTGTTTGCAATAAATCGTGCCGTTTGTAGTCTCAACTGCGATAAATAGCAAATTTATATTTGTACAGATTCAGAATCTGTTCTCAAAAATATTAAAAAATTATTTTCAACAAACTCCTTAGTCACAGACACAGTAAGGCATATAAAAACATTGGAGGGTGTAGGATGTAAGATAAAATTTTTGTGGTTACCGGGTCACTCAGATATTGGAGGTAATGAGCTAGCCGATATCATGGCAAACCAAGCAATTACGGAAGGAACTCCAGTAGGGAATGCTTTTCCAAAAGAAGTAATAGCTTTGGTAAAGAGAAAGGCTCTGGAAAAATGGCAGGGTCTCTGGCATGTGTTAAGAGAGAATAAGTTGAGAGTGATCGAGCCTTCTGTAGTTCCCAATCGAGCGGACCTTCAGTTAAAAAGAAGAGAAGAAATAATACTGACAAGGCTCCGAATCGGCCACTCACGGCTAACTCATGAGCACCTGATGAGAAAGGGTCTCAGTGTCTCTACTGCGGGGTCAATTTAACAATCAGGCGCATTTTGACTTTATTTATTGATTTATTTAATGGAAAATTGAAAAAAAAGATAGATAAAGAGAGAGAAGTGAGAGAAAGGGAAATTAAATGTTAAAAAAAAGAAATAAACAAAAGGATATACAAAAAAATAAATAATAATAATGATACCTATATATAGATATATAACAAATATTGTATACTATGCTCATACATATTGTTAATCCTATATAATTATATATTATTTTAAAAATTGTAGTGATTAATAAGTACGCTGTGTTTTTAGCAACCCGATGTAATTGGGCAACACCATTTTATGATAATAAAGTGATTTTCTCTTATGGAACACAACGGAATGAACTTGAATGGAGAACGATATAACTGAAATTTTGAAAAATACCACCAAATTGGCAAAAAAAGTTTTTACGTTTCTTAAAATATCGCACCTATACAACAAAATTTTAAATTTGCTGACTTTTTTTAAAAAAATATTTTATGCTTTCAATTTAGTGTTAAATTTAATTTAATCTGATGTGAAATACATATTTTGTAAGGGCTAAAATGACCCGTTAGAGGTTGAGGAGCCCCGCCATTGTTTAAAATAAATAAAATAAGAATATAATGTAGTGGGTTAAGATCGGGCTTCCTGAGGGCCAGTCCGATGCAGAGATGAACTCTGGAATGTTCTTTTGCAGCCACTTCTGAGTTGACCTGGCCTCGTGAGCTGGAGCGGAATCCTGCTAGATAACCCAATGCCTTCCAGCAAACAGGGTATCATTTAGAGGCTTGACAACAGGTTCCAAAATATCAATCATCATCATAGTTTTTATTGGCTGTTTTAACTCCTTCCCCCTACAAAAATGGAGCTTTGTGGTGCCATCAATGGGAATCCACTACCAAACTATCACTTAGGAAAGGTGGTGACCTCTTTCCTCTGTTCCAATGACTTCCTGACCTTCCTTAGAGCTGAGTGCGTACACACGTTTCTTCAATTGTAAACATTTTCTCATTCCTAAACAAAATATTTCAATGAAGACCATTGGTGTAACGGCCATGGAGGAGTTTGCATATATCCTCTTTAATTTTTTTTTTAGGGAAGTGGTTAGTCTTTGTCCTGTCATTCTTCGGAATGCACCCATCCTAAGGTCGATTTAATTTGCGAAACATTGATCTGACAGAGATTCCCATTTCCCGAGTCATGATTTGTTTTTTTCGAATGGGATGTCTTCTGATTGAAGCAGCCACTGCTCTAACTGCATTTGTGGTGGAGACGGCCCCGGTCGAGGTCTGTCACATACAGATAGGGTCTCATTATATCTATTTATAATGCGGTATATGAACATACGGCTGATACCCAATGCTTCGAAAGTATTAAAAATCTCTGACCTACATTTTTTAACTTTGTGTAAGACGATCACAGCTATTCGGTTTTATTTATCACCCCACTCCATGTTAACTGAGCGAAAGAAAAATACAATCTAATTTATATTATTATCCTGAAAAGTAAAGAAAATGACCTGAAAAAGGTAAGGATTATCTAAATAATACCCTAGGATGTAAACAAAGTTCAGGTTTTGTAACAGTATTTATGGTAGAACTAGGTATAGCTAACTATTTACCTAGTTATCGTTGGTACCATGTTGTATCATTAATCCCATTATACTTCTTAAAAAAGACCCTCAGTTTCGTTTTTTGTTTCAAAGAAAGTACATGAGTGTCCTAAGTAATTCCCGTAATTTTAAGGTATTACTGGAAAAAAAACTTCACAATCGCTGAAGCATATTATTAAATAGGAAGGAAAGGTGTTCTTGGCCAGCGCACTACGCGATGTTGATTGAAAAATTTAGCAGTGGAGATATATCGTTTGAAAGAAAGAAGGGCTTCGGGCAACCATTTATTGATGAGGTTCTGCAGGAAACTGTTGATTCAAATCCGTCCACAAGTACTCGCGAACTTGTCAGGATGTTTAGTTTGTCAAAAGATACTGTTAGTCACCATCTTCTCTCTCTGGGGAAGGTAAAAAAGATCTGAAGACTGGCCCCTTAACTCCTCAGCAATCAGCTAAGACGTTAGCAATTTGTAAATTTGGAAATTTATTGAAAAACCCTCGAATTCGAACTCCTGCTTCATACACAACAATAAAGTCTTGACCTCGCACTTACTATTTATTTAAATCCATGTCCAATTTTCTTCAAGGGGAAAAATTTAATAATTTTGCGGAAGTTGAAATCGCGGTCCAAGAGTTCTTTGACAGCCATCCCAACGAATGGTGTCAGCGTGGGATCGAGCAATTGACGGTAGATAACAATGGACTATACTTTGAGTATTAATTGTATTTTATGTCAAAGAAATAATAATACAAATATGTGGTTGAAAAATGGTCATTTTATTTTTTGATACACCCTATTATTACGATGTTTTAAATTACAATAGACGTAATAGATGCTCTTCTCTTTTATTAGTAGAATACCTCTAAAAGCACAGTTCCATATGGTTTTATCTTATTTGGATGGGATCAAATATGCAGTATGGAACGGATAGCTTCAGCATATTTAAGATTAATTATAGTTTTTAACATGGGTTTTGTTTAGGCAATAAATTAAGTTTTAGAAGAAAAAAAACTTCATTAAGTTTAACAGGAGTCAACGTTCAAAATAATTTTTCATTGGACTGTATTTTAAGGCCCGACGGAGGCAAATGCATTATATAACGAAGTCACCTACCATTTCTGTTTTCATAACGCAATTGTTCGGATTCAGTGACAGGGTTCCCTTCACTACAGTGTTTGATGCTGTAGTGGCCGATCTAAAAATTCTGAGGTTGCAAACTGTTATCTGTATTTTTTCAACCTCTCGCTGGATAACGTGCGATTGTGTATTCACAAAACAGGTTTATTACCCTTATATAAAAAATATTTAAAGTTTTGTCACGCTTTATCGTTTTCGTTTGGTCAGTGGCTGTTCATAAATGTAGTGTATGGTTTGTATCTGCATTTCATATATTTTGTAATCATTGTAAGATGTGTTCAGTTCTAAATATTTATCGGTAATTTCATTCTCATCATTTCCTCTATCAAATGATATTTTACTATTAATTTTGTCTTGCTTTTCGCCGTTATTATTTCATTTTCAAACGGAAATATGGGTCATAGCAATATTAGATATTATTTATTAATTATGGATTATTGTGGATTGAAATTAGTGTATTATTTTTTCACTAGTTTTCTGATCTATTATCCAGAGGCATCTTTTACCAAAAAAACCTTTGTTTTCTTGCTGAACGAATAGCTGCTCTGTTGGTTCATCAAAAGGAATTCCCGTTACCAGTTTTCTTTTGTTTAGTATTAAAAAAACTGGTCTTGTTTTCGGCTGGTAGTTATGAAACTTCCAGAACTAAACCTGACATATATTTTTAAGCCTGAAAAAAAAAAATAGAAAGAATTAAAGAAAACATAACGAATAAATCTTCCTTCAGAGATACCGTAGAATCGATGACAAACATAACTTGTTTTACGTTCTAATTTATCTTTAGTAAGCGTGTTTCAGTACTCGATTGAAGGAATGTTTTTCCAACCCGCTGTTCTTCTATGAGATAAAAACATAACATCGTAAATCTTGAAATAACTGATTTTAACTTAACCATACCAATCAAAATTATTTTATTTTGAAAACAAATTGGCTGGTGTAATAATTTGTGCATAGACGACATTTTCAATCTCATTTTCATTATTTAAAATTATGTACTGGTTTGATTTTGCCAAGATACACTCTTCGAGTCCAACAAGATTTTGAAATATTACTGTATTTGTTCCTTTTCTGGCCTCTTACCGAGGCCCTCCGGTCTTGCACATCTCATCCATGCTGCCTTGATGCGGAAATATATTTCTCTCTTCAAGACCATTGCTATCGGGACCATTGTGGTACCTTTTCCAATAATTTAGCTGGATTTCTTCTTCTTAACATTCCCATCAGTTTGTTTTTATAAAACTGCGAGTTTCGTTTGTCTCTCTTTTTTTCTTTTGCACAGAATACTGCATACTGAGTGATATTTGTCACATTTTCCTAATTTTAACATTACCATACTTATCTTAATTGAACAATATAATAATGCAACCCTAATTATTTCAAAATAGGATTTTGTATAAAATCTTACTACCACTAAACAAAAAAAAAAAAAAAAAAAAAAAATAAATAAATATCATATGAGGCCGTTTTGCTTTTTTTGCAATGCTAATAATTTATTATTCATTCGTCTAGTTTTGTTGTTCCGTAAGTTCCGTTGTTCAACTCTTCCTATTTCCTTATCTGATATTTTTCCCTTCATGATGATTCTGGGTTTACAAAATGATGTCAACGGTTACAAGTGTGATAAGTGAATTAGAGAATGTCCTCCCCTAAATTAACTTATAGACTTTCTTTTCTTGTTTGGATTTCTATCCTCCGACTTCCAAGTATTCTACCAGATTTTCTCTATCACTTAATCCATTCAGTTAGTTTTGGCTCATTTGCAACAAAGCCAAATTCAGCTGGTTTCTTACAGCAGATAAACTTCTCATCGTCCGCAACCATATCATAAATTCTTGGGTTTATCACAAAAGGAATTTCGTGCTTCTCATTGTCATTTACACCAGCCTCATCAGCTTCTCGGATATACCTCCCTCCCTCCCAGCTCGTCTTGGACTTTGTACTGTTCCTCCTTGTCAACGCGTTTAATATCATACGCCCGCTAAAATATATTTTTTTTTTATAAAAACTGAAACAAAAAAATTATTTGTTCACCCATATCAGTTTATTTTTGGTTATGAGTGACACATTTTTTTTATGCTCATTATTTAGTTTAGATATTACACTTGTTTAATTTTTAACAAATAATTTTTTTGTTTCAGGTATTTTTGTATTAATACAGTGAAGTCAGAGAATCAAAGGTGAGAAATGTTCTTTTTTTAATTCGTGCAGTTTATTTTAATAAATTGCTCATTGTTAGTATTTTTTTTTTTACAAAGATTGCGTGATTATAAAAAAGTACACATCAATATAAATTTGATTTCTTAATTATTATTGCCCATGCAACAAGGATATGTTCTTTAAATGAAATTTATTTATTTGTAGTAAAAAATTAATTCAACATCTTTCATATGTCGTAGGCTCATAGTTCACGCGGTAGGTATTCATTCATGTGGGAATTTTTGTTGTTCTTTCATAAACAAGAAAGAGTACTTTTTTTTTTGTACTGATCTATCTTAGCAGGATATATATATATATATATATATATATATATATATATATATTAATTTTTTCATCTACTACAAAAGGTTCTATAGTTTTGATACATTTTATTCTTATTCATTTTGTCATTTAAAACTGTATATATTTTCTGGTATTTTTTGGCTTCTTAAGTCATTTTGAAGAATCTGTGAACTTTTTAAAATTCATTTATTTTTCTTCAACTCTTAACTTGACATTGTATACTTGTAGATACAACCACAAGATTACGTAATCGTACTTAAAAACAATAAATATTTATATTATAAATAATAAAAGTCTCTATAAAAAATTTATTTCTCAGTTTAAGCTAAAATATTCAAATATTTAAACATTCTGTGACTTAAATTGTCTTTATTGTCTACTGTTATTATGTTTAAACTTAGTTATAATATTATTAATTTTTGATCAGTTTGGTTCAAATTAATGCAATTATATGTTATTAATTAATTAATAATAATTTTATTAATTAATAAATAAATAACTACACATAATAAATAGTTATACATCAGCTGGTGCGAAGGTTGTGTTCTCAACTCGTCTCTCATTTGTTTCTTCTTTTTCAGCGGAATCTCTCTAATTATTTAGTTAATACTGTTCAAGTGTACATCAGAGCAGTTTATATTTGCTGTTTGATATATTTTTTTATTTCTTATATGATATGCGGTTTCATCACCTAATGGTCCGGTAAGGTGCCCAAGAGTACTCCGTCAGACGGCGTTAGTACACCTCGTGGTTCGCCAGCCAAACAAGGAACTCGTCGCTGCCTACGAGAAAAATCTCTAATAACCAAAGTGAACACATCAGAACAGGAACCTCAGTCCCAACCAGGTACTTCTTCGCAAGAAATGGTCGAAGAATCCCCTTTCTTTACTCCCAAACCTTTACTTTCAAACGCCTACCAAGTGCTTCAAAATGACCTTGAGGTAATGGAGTCTGCAGCTCTACCCACAGAACCAAAGCCTCCTCCGATATTTGTGAAAAATATCAAAAATTTCCAATTGTTCTGCACCCAACTAAATAAAATCTGCTCTGGCAGTTATTCATACCTTAACAGGACCAATGACACCAAAATAACTCCAGATTCTTCTTAACCCTGCTGAAAAATAGTGAAGTACTTACCAGAAACACATGCGAATTTTCACGCGTACCAGCTGAGGCAGGAGAGAGCGTTACGAATGGTGATAAGAAATTTACACTCCTCAACCCCAACTGAATTGATTAAAGAAGAACTGACCACGCTTAGTTTCCATTTACGCCAGGTATCCAACGTTTTAAACGAGGACAAGTAGCAGCCAGGGTTAAACAAAATCCCACTACCATTGTTTTTCGCAGACTTGGAGCTTATGGCTTATATGGCCTGCCGCAACAACAAACTCAACCCCAACCTCAAAACCTTATTCATTCTAATATACCTAACCATCAACAACAAATTCATCATATCCCTCCTCGTTTAAATGCTCCTACCGTAATACTTGACGTATGGTACTGACCATCCTGACGGTAGAGTACATATCGGCATGTAATATTTCAGTTTCTAATTTTTTTTATTTAGTCCAACAATACACCGACGTTTTCACATCAAAATCATATTACGGCGTTTCGGCTCATCGAGCAATTTTCAAGTCTGTAGTGCACTTGTCCATTATATTTCTTATGTAAAATACATGCGTCTTCTCATAATAGCCAGTATCACGTTCGTCAAGTCTATTTTTAGCATATTATGTGTCAAACAACATGTCAGTTTCATTGTTATTAAGCTACTGCAATCAGTTTTTGACATGATTTCTGAAGAACAGATATACAACGTTATCTTAAAGTTTTCAACGTTGGAACAAAGTCTCATTACCGGTAAATGATTATTCCTAGTGGATCATTTCGAGATTTGTAACGCCAAGAAACAAAATTGAGCCTGCCTCCCTTGGCAAGAATCTTGGTTCTGATCTCGTAGATAAGGAAATCTTAGGTAGAAGGAAATTCTTCCAAGTATCGAAAAAAATTATGATATTACAAGAATATACTACACAATGGTGAAAGTTGAGAAATCATAGCCCAAGAGAGAAATCGTGCTGTGCCATAATTGTCAGGCATACGGCCACACGAAGGCATATTGTCACCATCTGCCGCGTTGCGTGAAATGCGATGAACAGCACCAATCTGTAGAGTGCAAAGGCTGCCGTTTTTACAAGAATCTCAAAACCAGACAAAAGAAAAATCTGATTCAAGATGAAGCAAAGCAGTAAGACCAAGGAGAGATGGAGGGCCTTCTAGAATTGTAAACAATAACGTATCATTCTCACAACTACTTAGAGTTAAGAACTCAAACGATAAATTTCAAGCCCTGCCGCAACAACATACTTAACCCCAACCTCAAAATCTTATTCATTCTAATATACCTAACCATCAACAACGAATTCATCATATCCCTCCTCGTTTAAATGCTCCTACCGTAATACTTGAGGTATGGTACTGACCATCCTGACGGTAGAGCACATTTCGGTATGTAATATTTCAGTTTCTAATTTTTTTTATTTAATCCAACATTACACCGACGTTTTCACTTCAAAATCCTATTACGACGTTTCGTCTCATCGAGCCATTTTCAAGTCTCTAGTGCACTTGTCCATTATATTTCTTATGTAAAATACATGCGTCTTCTCATAATAGCCAGTATCACGTTCGTCTTGTCTATTTTTAGCTTATTATGTGTCAAACAACATGTCAGTTTCATTGTTATTAAGCGACTGCAATCAGTTTTTGACATGATTTCTGAAGAACAGATATACAACGTTATCTTAAAGTTTTCAACGTCGGAACAAAGTCTCATTACCGGTAAATGATTACTCCTAGTGGATCATTTCAAGATTTGTTACGCCAGGAAACAATATTGAGCCTACCTCCCTTGGCAAGAATCTTGGTTCTGACCTCGAAGATAAGGGAATCTTTTGTAGAAGGAAATTCTTCCAGGTATCGAAAAAAATTATGATATTACAAGAATATACTACACAATGGTGAAAGTTTAGAAATCATAGCCCAAGAGAGAAATCGTGCAGTGCCATAATTGTCAGGCATACGGCCACACGTCAGTACCATCCTGACGGTAGAGCACATTTCGGTATGTAATATTTCAGTTTCTAATTTTTTTTTATTTAATCCAACATTACACCGACGTTCTGACTTCAAAATCCTATTACGACGTTTCGTCTCATCGAGCCATTTTCAAGTCTGTCGTATACTTGTCCATTATGTTTCTTATGTAAAATACACGCGTCTTTTTGTAATTTCTTTTTTTATAACTATTCAATTTAAAAATGTATTCTAAGTAGTAGTAGTAAATTATAATTTCGAAACATTCCCTTTAGTCCTTTTCTATATTATTTAGTTAATATTATGAGTTCCGTCTCCTTAAGCGTTTTAGTCACAAGCAGCCCTTTACTTGGCTTTAATCTTGCTTGTATATTAAATTCCTCTTTAGTTCTACGTGAAGGATAACAAAATTAAATTTATATATAATCGATATTGTTTCCTCCAAAGACAAAAACATTATAAGGAAAATGGGGTTCCATTGAAAATGGTAATTACTTTTTAATGTGGCCATTTTTAATAATGTACTTATTAAACATGATTTTTAATAATAAGTTAAAATTGTAATTTCCTTGATAAGAATTGTTCGCAATTCTGGGATATTTAAAAATAAATACGTTAGCTTAATAATTAATTAAATTTGAGTTTTACTACTTAATTACTTAATTTCGTTGTGTTTGGTTCTTGGAAATTTTGACATTTAAGAGATGGAAATCCGGCTTTTAAGTCTTGTTCGCCTTTCTTAATATAATGTTTTTATTGGTTCTTCTATAAATATTATAAAATTATTACAACGATTTATTTCAAGGAAAGTATTTTATCTGAATGCATTATTTGTTTCTTTTCTTTTCACGATATATATAATCAACTGACTGCAAATTTGGTCTATTCACTAAGTATGATTTTTACTCCATCTCCTAACTAAGCATGAGAACTTTGGTGTGGATAATTTTGTTCGAATTAAAATTAAAAAAAAAATGAATTGTGAAATAAGAAGTTTTTTTCGACAAGGATTCAGTAGTTTCTGCATTCCTGGCTTAAATGAAGAAATTGAGTCCTGCTTCCTTAAAGCTTCTTTTGTACCTTAGTTAGAAATGACCAGATCAGTTTAGCTGAGATTAGAACCTGCACGTTCGCAGTATGTGTATGCATTCTGTTCACCTCCTCCGGACTCGCAGAGGGTACTGAAGCCAATGTGCAACTTACTGAACAGGCTGGTGGGTTTGTAGCTGATGCTGTTAATTTGTAAGCGGGAAATAAACACCGCCTCTCGTCGAGTAAATTCGTGAATAGCACCTATGGAGTCGCTTATTCTTAACATTGAAAACCAAAAAGTTATTTGTTTATTTTATTTTATTTACTATTACTATCACTAATTACTGAAATTTTGGAATACAAATATTAATATATCATACATTTCCGTCCAAGTCCAAGTACGTTTATTGTATTGTACGTGAAGTCCAGGAACGTTTATTGTATTG